GAGAGAGAGAGAGAGAGAGAGAGAGAGAGAGAGAGAGAGAGAGACAGAGCGCCTGCTGAGTCTACTTAGTGCTACTTGTATTTAGTGGTGACCATTTGGGACTAGATAGCCAACTGGGAGATTCATACCTGGGGAAGGCTGATTTTCCCTCCAAGCAGCCATTAATTGTAGCTCTTCATGTCAGGGTAGGGCTTGTTTGAGTGTTTGCATCCGAGTTGGGCTGTCAACCGAAGCCGCCATTGTTTAGGTCTTATTTCAGTGACCGTATTGTTAAGATTTCATGAGTATTACTATCACAGCCTTGGGTTTTCTTGCTATGCTTCGGCCACACTATGGAAAGGCCAGCAAAGGAAGCAGCTTAAGCCAAAAGTGCTTTGCTGACCACAATCCTTGAGTTTTCCATCTTGCTACACAGAAAGCACAATTCACAAATGGCCTGCAAGGACGCCAGAACTTTCCTAGCAATGTTTAACCATGGATCAAATGGATATTTTCCTACCACATGAAGTCTTTTATGATCCAAAATAAACCCCAGCATTTACAGCCTAGCTCAACATAAAAAGAAGCTCATGTATTTTCCCTAAAACACTTTTTTGGAAGACATACCTAAAATTAAAATGAATGAGCTGATAATTTATGAACCTTCTTTAAAATTGATGTCTCTAACCATCCCGGGAGGCTCTTCTCACTGTTAAACAACCCCATTATCCACTCTGTGCGTCTAAAGCAATTTCCGAAGCTCAGGCAAGCATGTGCTACTTCAAGCCACCACTCCTCCCAGAGTCAAACCAAAGCCAATTAGTATCTAAGACATAGGAGGAAGCATTTGTGTGTGTACACTCCGGGGCAGGGTCTTAGGATATTATGTCACCTTTCCTGGTACACTCCGACAAAAGAATGGAATCGTAGTTTCATTTTTCCTTTGATGAATAAAACTATTACACATGAAAAATGAAAGCGTGGGGCTGTGGCTATGACTCTGGCAGGTTCGCTCCCAGAACCCACACAAAAAGCCAGGCATGGTGGTATGCACCGGCAATGTTAGCACTGCAGAGGGAGGGACAGACAGGTGACTATGGGGCTCATCTGGATAAGCAGGCCAGCCTTAGTCAGTGGTTAAGCTTTTCCAGGGTCACAGGGCCCGTGAGAAACCCGATCTCAGAAAACAAGCCATAGCACCCCTGACAATGTCATATCTGATGGTGGATGACCTCAGCTCCCCATGCACACTCACCTACACCCACAAACACACAGATGAGCAAAAATGTTGTACCACTGTATCCAGGCATGATGGACACCATTTGTAATCTCAGCACTCTGGAGGCTGAGATAGGTGAGGCTTAGAGGCTAGCCTGGGCTATGTAAGACTATTTAAAAAAAAAAAGTCCTAGTGCTATGTCACCACTGATTCAAATTTAACTCGCAATGTTTCAGGTAAGGGCTAGTACACAATGAAACATTTTACATGATACCTGTCAACACTGGTAATTGTTTGAGACGCGGTTGTAAACCTTGCGGAGGGGGTTCCTGGCCCCAAAGCTAATATAATCTTTCAGAAGGTGTGTTACAGAAGGAAACCATTGTCTGGCGTGTGGCTGACTCAGGACAAGCACCGTCATTCTAAGAGAAGTCTAAAATAAAAGGCTGGCAAAGAGGAAACAGAAGGCTTTGGTCTGGTTCATCCCTGGCCACGGGGGATTTGCAGACTATGGGAGGAAGCCCTGAAATAATAAAGAGACTGTTTGCTTTCATCGGCGGGCCGCCTGCCCCCTTCCTTCACCCCGTCCTGCCTCAGAAACTGCTCGATGCTAAAACAGACACCACTGTTAAATGTCAGGAAAAAAGGAAGATGAAAGGAATCTTCACCTAATACCACCTTAAGTCACATGACACCGTCCCCAGAGGTCACGCTGGCAGTTTCCCATGGTGCAATGTAATACAAGGTAATAAAATGTCAAGTCCCTTCCCAACGCACAAATAAACACAGAAGTTACAAGGAGCAGTCAATCCTGAGATGTGGCGAAATTGCAAACTGAGCCCCAGCTAATCCCTCTGGTAATATCTGCTACTAAAATTGTATTTATCACATACATCCTAAAACCAACTCACAAAATTTCCTAATCTGTCAATGCTGCTTATTATTTTAGTTGTTGTTGGGGAAATCTGAACTTCCAGGTTTGGGGTTTGGGGTCAAAAGAGACCCGCTTCTTGGAACAGCATCAAGAAAGGAGCAAGGTCATGGAAGTACAGTCATGTACCTGGAAAGCAGCAGTTTTCCCCGAAGCTGCAGGTCGGCTGCGCAGTCCTCAGATCGGCAGTTCCTTTCAAAAACCGTCTGTGGGAGAGAAAACGGTAAGGTTGGCCCGGAGTTTAAGTGAATGAATAATGGCCAGCTGCCTACTTGCAACCCAGCGCCCTCCAGGCACCTTCCTCCCAAGCCCAGGAAGCCAGCTGCCTGGCATGTGGAGGGGACAAGGTTCTCAAGGGTCCAGGGAAGCCTTGTCTGTAGTGGCCCCGAGGCCATGAGCACACCCTTCCTCGTTCTAATTCTTAGTTTACAGAGTGCTTCAAGTAGTTCTTTCTAGAAGCAGGCAGGAGGGGCTGGGAAATGGCTCTGGAGGTAAGAATGCTTCCTGAGCCAGCCTCAGCATGGCAGTTTGAATCCCCAGCACTCCAGAAAAGCCAGCCGTGGCCCTGTGTGACAGACGCCTTTCAGCCTATGCTGGTCTAAGAGAATCTAGGTGCTCTCAGACATCAGTACCAGCCATCTGTGCAAAGTATCCCGAGACCCCAGTCTTCTCAATTCTCCAGTGCTCTCTCCTGGGGAGGGAGAAAGTCTTCCCTTGAATCCTCTTCTGCATGAGCAATGGGGCCATGTTGAACGATTAGTCCCAGAGGGAAATGCCAAAGGCATTCAGGCCTTAGGGCTTGAGACTTCAGGAGGACAGGGGCTATTTTAGCAGCTGCTGGTGGTAAGCAGAGAATGTTGCCATTTCTCTCATCAGGGTTAGGCTCAGCAATCAAATTGCCATTTGATTGCTGAGGGCCTAAAGTTCACTGTGTCAAAACTGGCTTAGGTTCCAGACAAGCAGGCATGCACTGGAGTGTGGGCCTACCTGTGAAGGTTGGCCATAGTGGGGGGAGCAGCATTGGATGATGGGATGTGGGCCTGCCTGTGAAGGTTGGCCACACTATGGGGAGCAGCACTGGCTAAGGCTGCAACTACTTCTCTCTGAAGTACTGGAGGAAGTGAGAATTTGTTCCACACTGTGGTCTCCACCTCTCTGATGTTCTGATCCATAGAGAATGTTCTCTACTAGACAATGAACGTTCTCTGCAACCCCCAAATCCTACCATTTCAGGAGGATTTGGAAAGGAGAGCCCATTGCCCTTCATTAGCTGGAATTTATCAACCTTCAAACTCCTTCAAGGATGCTGCTCAAGTTGGTGAAGTTTTTCCCCCTTTTACCAAGCATAGTTCTAGGTGATTTGTTCCCTTCCCACACTCAAGGTGCCAATATGGACTCCAGCAAGCCTGTTGGCTAATAGAAAGTCTAGACTCCACCAGACAGGGTAATTTTGCCCATGGAAATTCATAATAGCATGCCACATTTCCAAAAGAATAAAGTGTCCCAGCCAACATTCCCTTCCTTAATTATCATGGAAGTCTTGAGGAAAAGAGCAACTTCCTGTGTCCTTTTGGACCATTCTGAAACAAGTAAAAAGTCAAATTCCAAAGTGACTTCAAGAAAAGTATTCTGTGATGTACTATCACCTCCAAGGAGAAAGTAGGAGAAGAGGGCGTGGGGTCTGTGCAGAGTCTAAGGTGAGATGACAGGAAGGCCTGTGAGCGTTAGGGCAAGCGTAGGAATAAAGGCATCCTTAACAAGCTGATGGAACTTAAGCTTGAAGGTCCATTGTAAACATGGCCCTACTGAGGCCTTTAACTTGACTTTACATTGATAATTTTACATTTTGTTTTCCTTTTAGATTCATCTTTTCAATCTTATAGTGTCAGGTCCCCAAAAGCCAGACCCATTCCTGAGTATGTCTTTCACTTTACAGGCACGTGAGATAGATTTGGGCTCTTCCAATGTCAGGCAGACATTTTTTATAGATTATAAACTTGGAATTTGCTTCTTGATTGGAGCCTTTGTTACTGTGTAATGACTTTCTTTGTCTCTAGGGACAGGTCCTGACTCAAAGCCTATTTTCCCTGATACACGTGTGAGCTACTCCAGCTTTGTCTCATGACCCTTCCCGTCCCCAGGGGCACCCTTAATTGAAACTGAGTCTTTTGTCAACAGCATGGAATGAAATATGGGAAAGGGCAATGCGGGACCGAAGGTACAAGTGGGAAGAAGTGGAACCAGAGCTGGGGTGGGAAGCGGTGGCCTCCGAGGTGGCAATCGGCAGAGGTAAGGACGGGGAGGAGAGAATGTGATCCCAATCCATGCTGTGACAAGCATCCTTCACATCCTTTTGTGGGCCCTGCCCTTCAGACTTCCGCCAACCCAGATCTCCGTGCCACCACCCACTCTTATACTGACTTCTCAAAATTTACAGTGCAAACAAGTGAGCACCAGGGGACCTCCTAATCGATGGTGGAAAGCGGTAGATGTGAGCCCGCTTCAGTGCGGAGGAAGGTATTTTTCAAGAAGCTACACAGAAATGTTTCCCCTCAAGCTCTTTACAATGCAAAATGACAGTTCCCCCCACAGAAGAGCACAAGCTAATGACTGCCTTTCTGCTCTTTAGCAGGGTCTGTGGCTACACTAAAAGTCCTACTATGTGACTTCTGAGCCAACTCCATAAAAAGAGAGCAACAGAGCCTTCTCCTAGTTATTTGTTCTTGGAACTTAACTACTCTGAGCCAAGAAAACCCCAGATTTTTGTAAAGAGGTTCCCATGGGGTGAAGCTATCATGGGAGTGGGGCTCTTAGGGACTGTAGAGTTCCTTGCAGGTACCCACTCTGTGCAGAGAGATGAAGTGGTTTGACCAAGCCCTACCAAATGGAATATTCTTAAGCAAATTCATCACTGCTCCTTCTTTCTCTCTGTTACTGATTTTTAGTTTCATTCCATTGTGGTCAGAAGAGATACTTGGTATGATTCAAGCTTTGTTAAGATTTCTGTTCCCACATGAAGTCTATTATGGAGAAGTACAAGTCTATTGTACCTTGGAGGAGAGTAGGCAATCTTCTGTTGGGCAGAATGTTCTGTGCATGTCTATTAGGCCTGCTGGTCCTCAAAGCTGTCCAGCTCTTCTGTCTCTTGGTTGGTTGTGGTGTTTTGAATGAGAATGGCCCACAGGCCACCTGAATGTTTGGTTTCTGGTTAGTGGACTCTTTAGGAAAGATTAGGAGGTGTGGCCTTGTTGGAGGAGGTGTGTGTCACTGAGTGTGGGCTTTGAGGTTTCAAAATCCCACAGTGCTCACTGTCTTGATCTCTTTTTGCCTTGTGCTTGAAGAGGTAAGCCCTTAGCTACTGCTCCAGTGCCATGCCTGCCTGCCTGCTGCTATGCTTTCCGCCATGATGGTCATGGACTCTCCTTCTGAAACTGTCAGCGATCCCCTAGTTAAATTCTTTCTTTTGTGAGTTGCCTTGATCATGTTGTTCTTTGTTATAGCAATGGAATGGTGACTAAGAAGTCTTCTGTGGAGAAGTTCTACCCGGTGTTGAGAGTAAGGCACCAGGGTTGTGTTGTGTGTTACCACCAAGGTCTCCTTTCAGATCTGCCAGTATTTGTTTGACCTGTGTAACTTCTCTGAGGTTGGGGGCTTGCACACTGATAGCTCTTCTTTCACTTTTATCACTATATAGAGACCTTCATTGCCTTCAGAGACAGCACTTGCTCTTAAAGTCTACTTTAAGTCTACAGGTTTGAATTATTCTTGATTCCTTTGGCTAACATTTATGTATATATATATACATTTTTTTCCCTCTGTCCCACTCCTGGACCAGAAGTGAATTTCTGGTAAACAGTTTGATTTTCTGTGCATTTTTAACCCATTTCATCACTTTATATCTTTTATTTGCGGGAGTTTAGTCTGTTTACAGTAATTATAGATAAGGATCCTGCCTTTCATTAATGTGTGTTTGCACATGGGCATATGCAGGTCCACATGTGCGTTCACGAGCATGTGGAGGTTACACGCACCTTGAAGGGATGGCTGCACTCCCATGCCTATTACATCAGTGTTCATAACAGCAACAACGGAGACAACCTACCAACGGGCAAGTTCAAAGAGCCATGGTACAACGTACAGATGGTCCTTCGTTCCTAGTGGGAGCCAAATCCCTGGGTGCTTCCTTGTGCAGCAATACTTTAACACTCTCTTACCAGAGTGTTCCCTGAACACTCTGCCAGCCCAATAGTCTTCCTTACGTCAGGAGCACTGAAGAGGAGAGTGGGAGGTACAATTTAGAACCTGGGCTGAGTCAAGCCCCTCGGTAAGCTGGGAAAGCAGTTGCGTTAAGGATCATTAAAAAGGTGATGTACTATAAAATCACAGGACCGCTGCCAAATACTAGAGAGCGACTGAGAGTGTGTATGCGTGTGCATGTGCGTGTGCAAGGGATGTCCACTCATTTGTATGCTGAGGTGGAAATTTGATTCCTGTGCCTGGACCTGGATGAGCCCTTTCTGGGAAAATGGCCAATTTGTTCCCTAGGAATCATCTCAAGGCGGGGGGGGGGGGGCAAGATGGTTGGCACAGCACAGCTTCAACATGCTGGATGAGGACAGAGTTTCCAGGAATTGTAAAAAGCTGCTCCTTAGCATGAGGTACAGAGTCCGGCTTTAAGGTAATGTTCCCTCTCCACATGTTCCTCTCAGAGAACAATCCCAACAGCTCTAAGTCTGGTCCCTGAGAAACCTGTCAAGCTACTTTTACCTGAACCCCGGGTCTTCTGGGAAAACTCAAGTTTGGCATTTCCATCAGGCAAGGCCCAACTGACGTCTCCCTCCTGCCTTTTAGCTGTTACCTGCAACTCTGCACAGCCCGGATTGCTCACCTCCCTGGAAGCAGCCTTCCTGACCGTGAGAGCTGTTCTCATCTCTCCTTGCTGCAGGAAGCTAAAACCTCTCTCAGGAGATAATCGCTTCCTGCCTCAGACTTCCGACTGCCCCCAGCGGCCTGCAGCCTAGGTTCCTGTGCTGGCTTCTTCCTCAACCTGGATACTCCCCGGGGTTACTTGTTCATTCACAAAATCCTTTTCCTCATTTCTCGATGAATCATTATTCTTTTTTTTTTTTAGATGGTGCTAGCACATTTTGGCTTTGAAGAGTGAAACAAGACATCATTGAGTTTGTGGCCTTTCTGGTCTCTCTTCCAGTAAGCCAAGAAAAGCATCGTGTAGTAAAGTGGCTATGCTGTGAACAGGCATATGCCAACAACCTCTTTTCTATTTGTGTGTGTGTGTGTGTGTGTGCATGTGTGTGAGCATGCATGTTGAGGCCAGAGGTCAATGTTGGGGATAATCCTCAATTGTTCTTCTACCTATTCTTTGAGGCAAGGTCTCTTGCAAGACTAGAGTTCACATACATGACTGGTCTCCCTAAGCAGCTTGCTCGGGACATTGCCTATGTACGTATGCCTTCTGAGGGTTGGCATTATCTCTGGGCCACCAATCCTATCCAGCATGTATGTGGGTTCTTGGGGTCTGATTGTGTTTCTCATGTTTGTGTGGCAAGCTTTTCTACCCCTGAGCCACCCCTTCCTGCCCATGGTGGCACTCAAACTTTATTTACAAAACAGACATGGCCACAGGCTGGGTTTGCTGATTCCTCTGTATACCATTTAGCTAATGAATGCTTCAGCACCTTTGGGCTGGGGTTTGTGGATGGATGCAGGTGGCTCTAATGGCAGCTGGCTCTGAGCTTCTCCCGTGGTGCCAAAGCAGCAAGGAACACATGGTTCTCGGGGGCTGGAAAGTCAATGAGGTAGTTCCAGCTGCTCAGGCCTTAAGGGACCCATTTCAACTCCCACATCCACACTAGAAAAATCCTCCCTTCTCAGGTAACAGGAAGGATGAATCTTAAATGCATCTGCTAGGATGAGAGACGGGCTATTTGCTTAGACAAAGCAATACTTGTTTTAAATTAAACTGCAATTATGTACATGGACTGAACCCTGTATGTAAGGTTGCTAAGGCAACCAAGTCCCAGGCTGAAGCCTTTGAAAAGCAGGATGACTGGGTGGATGGTAGTAAATGTGTTTCAGATCCCACCCAAGGGGACTAATCAAGGAGGCTCTGGTTAAAGGAAGACACACAAGATGTGTTCCGATGCGCCTCATGATTTCACAGCGAGTGTCTGCCTCTTACTGAAGCATCTGCCTGGACCGCAAAAGTGACATTAATGACTTGATGTTCCTCCTCAGTACTGCCCCAGGTACGAGAGGCGCCAGCTGGGGACCCATGTCATCTGGTGCTATTGCTCTGAAGAGATACCATGACCGAGGCACTTAACTGGGGCCTTGCTTACTGTTTCAGTTTCCTCTACCTTAGGTTTTGAAAAATAGACTGCTATGAACACACACACACACACACACACACACACACACACACACACACCCTGTGATATAAGTCACTGTTGATCATTAGCATATGCTGGCCTAGGAGAGAGAGACTCCCAGAGAGAGCTCACAGAATATCCTATTTCATTAAACAGCCTTGCAGAATGACATACACTTTTGTTCCTTCACAAGGGCTCTTTCAATGGAGACACCCATGCTAGGCCAGGTTTTGAGGCGAGTGTTGGGGAATTAATAGCTAATGAGAGAAGACACATCTCTGTGGCCACTGGGCTCCACTCTAGCGCGGGGGAGATGTACAAGTAATTGCACAGAATCAGCTGTGATGGGGCTTGAAGAAGGAGCAGGCAGACAGCTGAGTTGGGAGAGCAGAGTTAGTTCTCCAAGCCAGAAAACATTCAGGCTGAAACCTCAAACACACAGACAGGCCCTGAGAGTTGCAGCATGGGAACCTTCACAGAAGAGGGGAGAGCAGGGCCTCAGGCTGGAAGAGGACAGTAATTCTGAGGACTGTAGTATACAGGTGACCCTGGAGAGTGCTGGAGAATCAGGGTATCCCCTTGCAGGGCCCTGTGAACTCTAAGAGGGAAGCTGTGGAGAGTTCCTCAGGGAAACAGGTGTGCTGAGGCTAGGTGACAAGCCACGTGCTGGGCCTGCGAGGATGGGGTTAGCATGGAGGACAGACGGGGGGACCCATGCACTGTTGGTGCAGTATCTGAGCTTGAGGTGACAGAGGCAGTTCCTGAGCCCCTGGCTGAAATCAGCTCGGCTTCCTGGAGTGGCCCTAGCTAGCTGCCCATTGTTTTTGCCTTTGAACAGAGGCAACATCTGGAAGGCACATGGAAGGATGGTGGAGATCATTCAGCCGACTCGATTCTGTTGTTTTTCATAATCAGGCCAAGAAGAAAAAGCAAGAGCCGCTTCCCTAAAAAGTCCCAGGCTCCTGGGCAATCCCATCCAATCTAAGAACAATATTTTTCTTTCTATTTTAATTTCAACCAGAGAATGACATGGTTGAAAAAAATGTAACTGCTCTCTCCACCACACACATCCCTGACCAGGTCTCTCTGAGGAGAGAAGCATGGTTACCCATGTCTGCTCTTCTTTATCTTGGTAGC